ACTACTATTACTACTACTACTACTACTACACTACTACTACTACTACTCTACTACTACTACTACTACTACTACTACTACTACTACTACTACTACTACTACTAACTACTACTACTACTACTACTACTACTACTACTACTACTACTACTACTACTACTACTACTACTACTACTACTACTACTACTACTACTACTACTACTACTACGTACGACGACGACGACGACGACGACGACGACGACGACGACGACGACGACGACGACGACGACGACGACTACTACTACCTCCTCCTGAATCCCTCATCCTCGCTGGGGGTCGACGACGAGGCCGCGCGACATCGACGAGTCGGCGGAGTGCGGGGCGTCGTCGACTACCCCCACTCACTCCGCCGACGGAGCCGCGGCGGCGGAGGCCAGTCGCAGGTCCTCCTCCTCGTCGTCGCTGCGGGTCTGCGAGTGGCTCTCGTCGGAGGCCTCGGAGGACGACATCGCTCCTGCCGGCACTGAAGGGAGGCTCGAGCTACTGAATCGTCGTCCCCGTCCTGAAGAGGAGGAGGACGAGGAGGGCGACGAGGACGAGGACCAGGACGAGGAGGACAAGGAGATCGAAGAGGACGAGGAGAACGAGGAGAACGAGGAGGAGCAGGAGGAAGAGAGAGAGAGAGAGAGAGAGATAAAGAAAGAACTAAAGAAATAAAGAAATCAGGAAAGAGAAATAGAAAGGGCGATAGAGAGAGAAAGGTGCTGTTGGACGTGTGTTGGTCCCTTTCTGACCCTCCAGAAGCCTCCAAGGGCCTCGAGGCAATCTCAAGAAACCTCCTGAAACATCCAGAGTTTCCTTCCTACCCATCCGTTTCCTCCTCCTCCTTCTTCTCCTCCTTCTCCTCCAACGCGTCCTCCTTCCTGCCCTGACCCATCTTCACCAGCACTTCATGCCAGGACTGCGGCCTAAGGGCCTCTGCGTAGCATAATTACGCGGTCAGCACGCGGTCTGCTATTTGAGCTGGACAGCACAGTTTTGGGAGTCATCCGCGCCTCATGCTTCCCCCCCCTGCGTGAACTCTTGCTGCAGGGGCAAAGAAAGGAAGTGGGAGACAAACAGGAGATGAAGAGAACACGTAAAAGTGACCCTTCGCAGGAGTGAACTTTGGTGCCACCCCCAAGGGGTTGGGACATTCTCCTTTGGGACTGGGCTCGACCTCGCATCGACGTCCGCAACGTTGGGTTGCGCTCGCATCTGCGCACGCCAGGGTTGGGCCGCCCCTCGCAATCGACCGCAACGCATACGCGGCGAATCCTTCAGCCCGCATTGGTCTCCCGAGGGGGGGGCGCCGTCGATCAGGCCCCAGCCAAAATACCAAATCGATGTTTGGACAACTTCGGACAACATTGAACATCTTAGAGTATCTTCCCGAACCAATAGGACTCTTTACTATTGAAAGCTGCCAGAAGATATTCAACAAACAGATGATGGGCCCCCGAGAGGGGCGGTTTGGGCCATGACGCCAAACCTGGTCAGACGTCATCGCGACGCGGCCCGGCAGTGCGAGGCTTCACCACCGCGATGGACCACGGCCGCGTTTGCTTTCGCAGCGCCTTCGGGGTGCCATTCGGGGCATCCGGACCGAATTGGCGGAATTTCGCGGTTGCCCGCTGGAGCTGAGGATCTTTCGAGGAGCGTCCCGCGGATCGTTGGTGTGGTGCGACAACAGCGGCTTGCGCGGTTGCATTGGGCCCCTGAGGGCGTCCCCAGCAGCCGCGCACCGAAGGTCAATCCAGTCTGGGATTACTCGCACGTGTAGTCGAGAAGAGGACTGGTGGAACTCCAGGGAGCCCGGGAGGAGCCCGGAGGTGCACGGTTTCCTCTGGGAGCGTAGGCGACCCGAGGAGGAGGAGGAGGAGGAGGAGGAGGAGGAGGAGGAGGAGGAGGAGGAGGACGGGTCGCCTAAGCCCTTCGAAGAAACCCTCCACCGGGAGGAAAAGCCGAGCCTCGCCGCCGCGCGCAGCAACCTCTGCCGCCCACCTCCGCGTCAGAAGAAGCAGCGACTGGCCAGCTGCAGCGGAGACGCGCAGGAATGCCTCTTTCCTTGTCCTCCCTGTCCTCCGTGTCCTCCCACTCCTCCCTCTCCTCCCAATGCTCCCTCTCCTCCCTCTCCTCCCTCTACTCCATCTCCTCCCTCTCCTCCCTCTCCTCCCTCTCCTCCCTCGCCTCCCTGTCCTTTCCTCCTCCCTCTTCCGAGGACTCGCGACTCGTGGTGCCGACCTGTTGCGCCAAGGTGGGAAGTGGGGGGATGGCTGGCCGTTAGTCGCTGGGTGGCTGCCAGCGTCCTCCGAAGCCCTCCGTCCCGTGTAGGAGGCAGGCGAGGCACCCCACCCCACCTCGCCATCGTTCGGACGGCTCTTCCCCATGCTTGCTTCGATGTCGTGAGTGCACTTCTGCGCAAGAGGAGCCGAGATGCTCCTCGATGGCCCTCGCCGGAGAGCATGCAAACGTCCGAGCGATGTCAAGCCACCCTCACCAGACTTTTTTGTTTCGTCGGCGGCGAGGCAGAAGCAGTCCGCTACAGCGTGCGACTATTCGGGGCAACTGAAAGGCGAATTGGCCCGCGTGCAAGAGAGGGGGAGAAAGACGAGAACTGCCGCGCGGGGGGAGGATAAGGAGGAAACGCTCAGACGTGGAAGAGTTCCGCGTAGAGCAGGCCGGAGCGGCCAGCAAAAGCAGCGGGGATCGCGGCAGCAGCCGGGGCCGAGGCCAAAGCACACCACCCTCACCAGACAGGCAGGTCATGGGGTTTGGGGCTGTTGCAGCGGCTTGCATAAGCCCCTGCAGGGAGTGCCCCGCGCAAGGGGGTCGCGCCTGGACACGCTGCCGAGGGGCTGCTGGCCAGGGCGGGCCCCTGCCAGCAGCCCCCAGCGACACGCTGCGAGGAAGGGTGCGCCCCTAGCGGTGGGCGTCCCCCACCGGCAAGGCGCAGCCGCCGCTGATGTCACACGCGAGGGACTGTGTGACGGAACCCCGCTCGCAGCCCTGGCAGTGTGGCCAGTGATCCTCCTCTCCTCTCCTCCCTCCCTCCCTCCGTCCATGCCTGCCTGCCTGCCTGCCTGCCTCCCTCCGTCCCTCCCTGCCTTCCTCCCTCCCTCCTCCCTGCCTCCCGACCCTCCCCCTCCTCGAAGGCGCAGGGAGTGACGCCCCCCCCCCCCCCGAGCGAGCCCCGCCCGTGCCTCTCGCGCGCCCGCCGCTGGACCGCGTGAGGCCCGGGCCCAGCCCGCGGAAGGCCGTGCTGCTGCGGCGCTTGGGCCCCTGACTCCGTGCGCGACGGGGGGGGGGGGCGCGGGCGGAAGGGCCCGTGCAACCCCGGCGGAAAAGGAGTACCGGGAGCCGCGGGGGGCGGAAGGATAAGGGGGAGGGGGGGGAGAAGGAGGAGGAGGAGGAGGAGGAGGAAGAGGAGGAGGAGGAGGAGGAGGAGGAGCAGCAGGAGGAGGAGCAGGAGGCAGGAGGAGGAGGAGGAGGAGGAGGAGGAGAGGAGAGAGGAGGAGGGGAGAGGAGGAGGAGGGCGGAAGAGGGGAGGAGGAGGCGGGATGAGGAGGGAGGAGGAGGATGAGGATGAGGATGAGGAGGAGGAGGAGGAGGAGAAGGAGGAGGAGGAGGAGGAGGAGGAGGAGGAAGCGGAGGAGGAGGAGGAGGAGGAGAAGGAGGAAGGAGGAGGGGGAGGAAGGAGAGGAGGAGGAGGAGGAGGAGGAGTAGGAGGAGGAGGAGGAGGAGGAGGAGGAGGAGGAGGGGGGGAGGAGGGGGAGGAGGGAAGAGGAGGAGGACGGAGTAGGAGAGGAAGGGAGGACAGGAGGACGAGGATGATGAGGATGATGATGATGCTGCCGCTGCTGCTGCTGCTGGTGATGATGATGGTGATGATGATGATGATGATGATGATGATGATGATGATGATGATGATGATGATGATGGTGGTGATGATGATGATGATGATAAGGATGATGTTGTTGATGATGATGAGGAGGAGGAGGATCTGTGTAAACCTACGACTCCTTCATAAACCCTCCCTCAAAGTTCCCTCGTCATAAGTCCCAACAAAGATTTACCTTCGCTGCGGGAAGTGCCTCGTTGGAAGACAACCCGTGTGAAAATCCTGAACCGTCCCAGAACACCAATCCGATGATTTCAACACCGCGGGTCAACGTAACTGTTGCGCCTGGACGTTCCTGAATCGTGCCACAAGACCCAAAGTCCAGGAACGGGGCGGGAGCCCCCTGTTCCAGAATGCCGCCTCAGGATCTTCAGAGAGGGCAGGCTCAATCAGATGGGATGTAGTAAGCACGGCTGTATTCTGCATGGAATCCTTACTAGGGCACTGCCAACACCGATGCCACATGTCTTCTCTGTTAGCAGCACAACGTGGGCACTTCCCATCTGATGCGCATCCTGAATCCTGCAGCCTGCCTTCTGGCCAACACGCACCAGCAACAATAGTGAGTGACTAACTTGGCCGCGCGCTGGTGGACTCCATCCTTGAGGAGGCTCTTATGCAGGCGGCGAAAAAAACAGTGAAATCAACGCCTTGCGCAACTCCATGCGCACAAAAATTGTCAGCAGCTTTTGCCCAGACTTGCGCAGCAGAAGCCCGACGGACTCGACGAACGAGGTGGCACCGAAAATCGAGATCAGTAATCCGAAGGGTCGGGTATCCTGGGACCTCCCAAAAGTCGACGGCTCGTGGGACCCATTCAAGGTCCGGCAACGTCACGTACACGGCCGCGATCGGGCCCCGAACCGACCTCCATCTCTCAGCTGCAGGCTTCTGGGCGAAGGTAGTGAAGCGTGACCAAACACGACGGACACCAGCTTGAATCCCAGGGGAAAGTCTAGGCCACACTTCGGCGATCCCTGTCCTCGGCGAACTCGCCGTCCAGGAGCCTCGCGCCCCACTCCTTCCTGCTCGCCCAGGGGCGTGGAGCTGCCGTGGCCCAGCGCCTGCTGGGGCACCGTCGCGGTGCCTGCCGAGAGCGGCGAACACCGCGCGACTCCCGAGCTTCGCCGCGATCGCGTCCAAGACGGGCACGAGCTCCGCCTCCAAGGACTCCACCAGGGCCGCGCTGGCCAGCTCGGCGGCCCCACGCTTAGCGACGCAAATCGCCTCGGTGAGGATCGCGTCGTCCGGCTCCGCGTCCTGCTTGGCCTTCTTGCCCTAGATTCGTCTTGACGGCAGGGGCAGCCGCCAGCGGCGGCCCTGGTGGATTGCATGGCCGACGAACGAACGCGGCGTCAATTTGCAACACAATTTGCGCTCGACGGCCACTCTGCACACTGACCTCCTTGCCCTGGCAGCGACCGATTTAACTACCCACGCGGCGAATGGCGTACGGCTTCTCGCTCGCTCGCTTGGCTAACACGCGCCCTGAGGATCATCGACGGGAGGGCTGGTACCCGGAACGGCCCCGGCCCGGGATTCGCGGCGGCGTGCCCCTTCTGGACGGCAGACCTCCGACAGGCCGGATTCTTGCTCCTCCCGCGGGCCCCAGGATGTGAGGGGGAACGATGGGGGGTTGGGACCGGCATAGGGGGGGGGGGACGCATTGACGTGGAATCGGCGACAGGTCGCCGATAGATCGGCGATGGGCCCCCGATAGCGAGCCCGCACCTTCCTGGGCGGGGTGGGGCGATCGGGCCCCCGTCGGCGATGCATGGACGATTGGGGGTCGACGCGTCCCCCCTCCTGCCCATTCCCCTCTCGTCGCTGCTCCTGAGGAGGCCTCGCCCTCTCCCACAGCCGCATGCCAGGAGTGGCCCTGGGCAGGGGTGAAAGCTTTGGTGCGCGACGTTCGGGGGCCGCGGGGGGGCCGCACCCGAGCGCGCCAGGACGCTGCGAGTGCATCGCGTTCGGTCCTCTTTTGGGGGAACCGGAATGCACCGATGCCGCTGCTCCCGGGAGCTCTCCCAGGGTGCGTTCTGACCAGGATCTCGAGGCGGATCCAGCGGTGGCGACGAGGGCATCCCAGGAGGCCCAGAAAGGGGAATACGAGGGAAGGGTAGCGGCATGGGTACCTCTTCCTCCTCCGACATCTGGGGACCCAAGAGAGCCCGCACCCACAGGTCACTCCAGCGAAAGGTCAATCTTACGCGTAGCTGGGTGTCCCGTCCGAAAGGGCAGCTTCTTGTCCGTGCATCCCCCGTTTTGATGGCCCCAGGGTCTGCAAGCGGCACCGAGAAGCCGACCCCTTGAGAAAAATGCACGGGACCTGGAAAAACAAGCACAACCACACAGAACAAGACAGAAGAACGAGGGATGATACCGTTTCACTACTTCCTACGTAACTACTCGCAAGTGGCCCGGATCCGCCGAAGGGGACTTACGACCCATTACATCGAGGGGAACGTGTGCTTTTTCTAGAGCTTGCGGGTAGGCACTTTGCGAGTAGTGGAGCGCGCTCGGTGACAGGAGGAGGAGAAGGAGGAGGAGCAGGAGCAGGAGCAGGAGGAGAAGGAGGAGAAGGAGGAGGAGGAGGTGCAGGAGCAGGAGAAGGAGGAGGAGGAGGGGGAGGAGGAGGATTGGCGCGGCCCATTTTCTGCTCACGTGATGCCCAGCACCAGGCTGTCCACGAGATCCGCCACTGCCGAATCCTCCGCCGGGGCGACGCTGGCGGCCGCCGGGGCCGGCGCCGGCGGCGCGGCTGCCTCCTCCGACGGGGCGGAGGACGACGACGACGACGACGACGACGACGACGACGACGACGACGACGACGACGACGACGACGGTGACGATGACGATCACGATGACGGTGACGATGACGACGGCGGCGGGGGCGACGGCGGCAGTGGCGGCGGAGACGACACCGACATCCAGAGGTCTCCTGAGGTCCCTGGACGTCCCTGCAGGCCCCAGAGGCCTCAGAGGACTTCAGAGAACCAAAGACGCCCCAAACCCTCGATCCCTCGACCGAACCTCGATTGGCGACGAAGCCGACGGCCGTGGCAGCGGCGACAAGGACTGCGACGATCGACGGCGACGGCGACGGCGACCATGTGACCAGCGACGACGACGAGCGACGGCGACGAGCGACGGCGACGTGAGACGGCGACAATCCGCGACGGCGAGCGACGGCGATCGACGGCGGCGCCGACGACGTCGGCGGAAGTCTCGGGGGGACCCTCCGGCGGCGCCCGAAGTGGGCCCCCAAGAGGGCACGAGGCGCGCAGAAGGGCCTCGGACCTCGGCGCCCTGGCCCTTGGCCCTTCGACCCTTCGACCCTTCGACCCTTCGACCTTTCGACCCTGGAGGAGGAGGAGGAGGAGGAGGAGGAGGAGGAGGAGGAGGAGGAGGAAGCAGAGAACCTCGGCCCTTCGCCCCTTCGGCCCCTCGACCCCTCGACCCTGGGCCCTCGGACCCTCCGACCCTCCCACCTCCTCGGCCTCCTCGACCCCCTCGACCCCTGGTAACCTGGACCCCTGGACCCCTCCGACCCCCTCGACCCTCGGCCCCCCTGCCGCCCCTCGGCCCCCTCGCCCTCCGGCCCACCAGCCCTCGGCCCCCTCGGCCCCTGGAGGGCCGCGGAGGGCCGAGGCTCTCTGTCTCTCTCTCTGTCTCTCTCTCTCTCTCTCGTGGCGCTCCAAGGCCGCAGGGGCCGAGAGGGGCCGAGAGGGGCCGAAGGCCTCCCGCCCTCGAGCCGCGGGGGGGGAGGAGGAAGCGGAGGGGGAGAGGAGCAGGCGGCAGCGGAAGGGAGAGGGGCCCGAGGGAGGAGGGCCCTCGAGCCTCGAGCCCTCGCCCCCCTCGAGCCTCGAGGTCCTCGAGGCTCGAGCCTCGTGGCCCTCGAGCCTCGAGCGGAGGGTCCTCGAGCCCTGAGCCCTCGAACCGTTGGTCGGGGGGGGGGGCATGGCCGAGACTGCGCGGGGACCTGGGCAGCGTCGCTCCGTGGATCCGCCTCGCGAATCGGCGACGGCCGACATGGACCAGGACCAGGATCGGCACCGACGAGATCCGACAAGATCCCGCGACATCTCGGCCATGGTCCCCGCTCCTCTTCCCTCGACACGAGGGCAGAGGTCCGCCTGCGCAGTGGGCGCTGCAGCGGCTGCGGTCGGCACGGCAGGCGGCGCGCTGCCCGCCGCGCCAGGCGCCGGCGGCTCGTCGGCCTCCTGCGAGGCGGGCGGCGGCGGCTACGCGGCGGCGGCAGCGACAGCGACGGCGACGGCGGCGGCGGCGGCGGAGGCGGAGGCGGCGGCGGCGGCGGCGGCGGCGGCGGCGGCGGCGGCAGCGGCGTCGGCGACGGCAGCGTCGCCGGCGGAGGCGGCGGCGAAGGCAACGGCGGCGGCGACGGCAGCGTTAGAGGCGGCGGAGGCGACAGTGGGGATGGGGGAGGAGTGGGAGGAGGAGGAGGAGGAGGAGGAGGAGGAGGAGGAGGAGGAGGAGCAGGAGCGGGAGCGGGAGAAGGGGGAAAGGAGGGGACAGGCGGATGGATTGAGGAAGGCGGAGGTCGGAGGGAGAGGTGAGGAGGGATGGTAAAAGGAGGTGGAGGGAGGCAGGAGGCAAGGAGGGAGGGAGGGAGACTGCTTTTTGACGTTCGCTTCGGGGGCACATCTGAAGCACGGCAGCGTTATCGGCCAGCAGCTGACCCTCTGGCTCCGCCAGCGGCGCTGCCGATGCCGACTCGGCTCCACCGAACCCTGCCCCAGAGGGAGGAGGAGAGGAGGAGAAGGAGGAGGAGGAGGAGGAGGAGGAACAGGACGAGGAGGAGGAGGTGGAGGTGGAGGTGGAGGAGGAAGCATGGATGGAGGAACCCTGGCTAGGGGTACTGGCATGTTGCCCCTCTAGATCTTGTCGGAGCTCAAACAAAGTGGCGAAGGGAAGGATGGCACCTAAGATGACCTCGTGACCCAGTCTGAACACTGGGACTTGCCTCTCAGCATGCGATTCCACTTTGACTTCGCCCTAAATCTCATATTGGAAAGAGTGAGCGCATTGGATCTCCAACCTTTGCGCCCTGGCTCCTTCGAAATAGCTGCCGGAGGCTCAACATAGGGTAAGAATGCATGTTGAGTGCTCTGTTACGTACCGAGTGTGGCCCCGCTGGCCACTGTACAGGCTACGCCAGATTGGCGACGGCCCTCGGCATCGAGCGCCGCATAATGCCCCTGAAGCCTGAGTTCAAGAACCTCCATGGGAAGAACTAGTGCAGGGGGAGGGGGGAGGACGGAGGAAGGAGGAGGCGGGGGGGCGGGGCTGGAGCTCCCAAACCACCAGGGCGGAGGTCCCGGGGCGTCCCGCGTCTCGCCCTCGACCCTGCACGCCGCCCCCCCTCCACTCTGCGCGTTGCTACTGATTCGTTCTGGAAGCTTGGGTCGGCGGTGCGCCTGGGGGGGGGGGGGGGGAATGAGGAGGACAGCTTCTCGGAAAGAGGGTGGGGCTTCTCGGAAGCCCTCCGGCCTTCTGACAGGCTCCCTGCGTCTTCGGGTAAAGCCCAGAAACAAACTTTCAAAGGCCGGGGGACTTCCGAGCTTTCTGAGAAGGCCCGCTTGTGAGAAAACCAAAAGGTACCGATACCGCTGCTCCCTGGACCTCTCCCAGGGTGCGTTCTGGCCAGAATTTCGGGGCGAATCCAGCGGTGGCGACGAGGGCCTCCCAGGGGCCCCAAAGAGGAGAAAACGAACAAAGGGTAGCGGTCTGGGTACCTTTCCACCCCGGGGCTGGCCGCCGATTGGGGGGGGGGATGCGGAGCCTCCGTCGGGATAGCGCACGGGGGGTATACGGTGGGCACCTGCCCGGACGCCCTGGGCTGAGGTCGGGCATGTCTCCCTGCGGGCGGATTTTGAGCGAAAAATCAGAAGTACTCAACAAATCATCAACAAAAATTCAAACATGCATCCCCTGACTATTTGTTTTGCTATGCTTGCATCTGCCTCCTGTAGAGGGACATGCCCGACTTCACCCTGGGCCCTGGCCTCTTCCCGACGCCGCGCGACAACGGCTCACCTCCGAACGAGCGGAACTCCGTCCTCGGGGACTCCCCCAGGAGGGGCCGTCTGCCCCGTGCTTCGCGTGGCCTCCGCGCCGTGGGCCGCACAGCACGTCGGTCGGAAGAAGTAGGTAAGAACAGGAAGCAGGAAGGCGGGTGAGAAAGTAGCTGGCGCTGGCGGCGTGCTTGGTGTGCGGTTGGGAATATTGCTTTTGTGATACCGAGCTCACGCAGGACAAAATGTAGGAAATCACGACGCACCGCTTCCTGCATTTCAAATATGCGACTGTACCAAACGAAAACGACACAGCGAGTTGTGGGAAAGCACGAACCACGCGTTCCTGCAATTGGTTTGACCACGAACCGCGCCTTCCTACTTCGCCGTTAGCTAACACACCGTTAGCGCGTCTTCGGGTCCAGGGCCTCCCAGAGAGTCACAAAGCACAGCGAGAGCAGGGT